CACACACACACACACACACACACACACACACACACACACACACACACACACACACACACACACACACACACACACACACACACACACACACACACTTTTGCTTTCTTTTTCTGCAAACCAGTATATAATGTTGGACTTGTATTTGTAGTTGAGTAAAAAAGCAGCACTAATTTATATTGTTAGATCAGAAAATCTGTTGTGATTCTACCTTGTGACTAAAGAAACATTCTTAAATTTACTCCAAAGGTAAAAACCAAATAAAATGTATGTTATATACTGTATTTGTACTTTTGATTAAACATAATGTAAACCTGTACTTCATATTCCAGATCACCAGGTGGCGCTAACGCACRTTTTCAGCTGGAAGTCAGCCGCAGCTCTTAAAAAAAAAAAGAGGCAGGACAGAAAGAAGAAATAACTTGCCGTTTGCAGGATCCAACCAGAAGGTTAACCTGGCTGACAGCTGATAGTCGAGTATCAAGATTAGYGTATTGTCATCACGGATTTATCGTGTTTGTGTTATGTGAAGTGGACGCTGGTTTTATTAGAACYGTGGTAAGGGATCAACAACACTTTGTTTTAGTGCAGACCGCATTGAGTGAGCTACTAGCTAAACATGCTAGCTAAACTTGACAGCCTGTTAATATGTAAAATTTAAAGTGTTATAAGTAAATTTAACCTGCAGCGAAAAGCCAAATATTTACACTTATTGATTTCTGTCTACACGTTTAATATTATTCATATGTATTTAGACAAAGTTAGCTCTTTAAGGCTTTTAAATGTTCAGAAAGCTAAGTCAGGTTGAGTCGTGGGTAAACTTGTTTTTTTCTGTCCTGTATTTTCAGACCGAGCACCATCATGGCTTCAGCCCCTCCACTAAGGCGGACAGATTCAGCTCGGGGGGAATTTTCCCCCTTGAAGCATTTTGTTCTTGCCAAGAAAAAGATCAGCGACGTGTTTGAGCAACTTCTCAACTACGTGAAGGAGACATCAGACTTTGTAGAAGGTAAGAAGAGCTAAAGGTTTGTTTTCTCTTTGCTTTAAGGTCATCAGTAAAGTCAGGGGGGAAAGTACAAGTGGTTAATAAAGCACCATCTTGTGAGGTCTCTGATCATGTTGTGTTTGTGTTCTGGTAGACATTTATGGGAACAAAGCTTTGGAGGAAATTGCCACCCAGGATCAGAAGTTGGAGATTCAGGCTTACGCTGACAAACTTGGTGTCATTCAGGATGTGCTCGCTCGCAGACACATGAAGGTGGCCTTTTTTGGCAGGTAAATGTTACACTGCTCACTTGAAAAAAAAAATAATAATAACTTTTTCTCATTCTTAAAAATTGTTCATGAACTGTTCTCTTTAAAAAATATGATCTTACAAGCAGCCCTGGTGTTATGTTTAACCTGAACTACCTCTTCCACATATATTTTCACTTTCAGGTTAATTATTATTCATAGTAATTTGACCCACTCCAGGAGCCTCCTGGAATATCTCCTTGTACCGTTAACTTAATCGTTCTGCCTTTGTTTTAGTTTGTATTATTTTGTTAACATTTTTTTAGTAATTGACACATTTAAAAAAAATACTGCACAGTTAAATTATTCAGTGGGATCAGTAAAACATTTTCTAAATCAGTTTCAAGTTTCCTTGAAGAAATTCTAATGAGCACTAATAATAATTATTATTGTTTCTGATTTCATGTATTTAAGAAAGACATATAAAACTCAGGGTTTATGTGTCAGAAAGGCAGAAATGTCTGCCATGTAAACACATTTTACTCAGGTTATGTTTTATTAAAGCATAACTAATAATTACTGATTCTGTTGTCCGAAGACACGTGTGGCTCCATGCGCTTCTGCTTTTTATTTCTCTGTAGGACCAGTAATGGTAAAAGCACCGTGATCAATGCCATGCTGAGGGATCGCGTGCTGCCCAGTGGGATCGGCCACACCACCAACTGCTTCCTTAGTGTGGAGGGCACCGATGAAGACAAGGCCTATCTAAAGACTGAGGGCTCTGAAGATGAAAAGAGCATTAAAGTAAACATTGATTTTATTGTCTAGTATTTATTGTGAGTGTTTCAATGTCTTCCATTCATATTTTAACACATAGATACCTCTAGAAAACTCTGGGGGTTAAGATGTTTGCAGTTTTTTGTGGCTACATTATATTTTCAACAGGCAGAAGAAAATTTGATTCATGCTAATGAGTGTGGAGTTTGCGCTGCTGTCGCAGTTACACAACTAGTGGAATCTGAAGGGGTCATATTCTACCACTTTAGCATTTTAGCAAGCTTAGCATTTTTAAATGAAATGTCTCTTCTGCTATCTCCTTCCCAAATGGATTGTGAAAGTCCTCAATTCTGAAATGAGTACAGCGAGCAGGAATTCATGAACTGTGATGCCAGTGAAGGGTGTGAATGAAAACACATTGTCAGATTCTATTTTCACTTTTGGTTTTAATAGGGATGCACGATATATCGGTATTGACATCGGTATCGGCCGATATTGGTCATTTTTTAGAATATCGGTATCGGTCCAATATGTAAAACTGGGCCGATATAAACGTCCGATTTTGATTTCCCACTTTTTATCTTTGTGTTTGTGTTCTGGGAGGGGAGATGGTTGGTTGAGCAGCATCTGTTTGATCGTGTTAGTGACATTGATGCTGCGTAACCAGGAATAACTGAAGTAGGGAGCCATGTCAGAGGTCTGGTTGTTTATTTACCGTATCAAAAAAAGACCCGTGTGTTTTTGTGTATATGTATAATATAATTTGTGTGTTTGTGTAATATCGGTGAATATCGGTTATCGGCCATAACAGCAATAATTATATCGGATATCGATATCGGCTGAAATTTTCATATCGGTGCATCCCTAAATTTTAACCAGCAAAACTTAATAAAATTTACTAGTTTTTTTGAAGAGAAGGAAAGAGCAACTCACAAAAGTAGTTATCTCTTGGTGTCACTTGCTCTTTTAAATTTGCTTCTATATTTTAAAATCTAATTTCCTGACGTGACTAAGTGTGTTAAAAAGAGTTGCGCGTGCGTGCGTGTTATTTGAGCATCCATGACATTGTATTATTTCCCATGCCTGTGCAGACCGTTAACCAGCTGGCTCATGCACTTCACATGGATAAAAGCCTGGACGCTGGCTGTCTCGTCCGTGTGTTCTGGCCAAAGACCAAGTGTGCTCTGCTCCGAGACGACCTGGTGCTTGTTGACAGGTGACAATAAACCCCCCAAACTCACAGTTGCTTTTTTTGATGGGATCTCCGCACCAACATCTGCACAATATTTCTCTAATTTTAAAAAAATGTGATGTATGGGTTTCTCTTGGACCTCTTCCACTCTACAGCCCAGGGACAGATGTGACGTCACAGCTGGACAGCTGGATTGACAAGTTTTGCCTGGACGCTGACGTCTTTGTGCTGGTAGCAAACTCAGAGTCCACCCTCATGAACACGGTAAAATCTCTCCCTTACAGGAAGCTCATGTTTGGCTTACAGGCTGTTTTGGCCTGTTTGGACTGTCTTTTTGTTAATTGTTGTCATTGTGAGGTTGGTATTTTGAGAATAAAAGGGTGGAGTAGTTAAAATGTCAGTTTTGCTTTTGTTTTGAAAATAGGTCAGCTGTTAATGAAATAGATCTTACTTCTTTGTGATGAGTGCATATTTAAAGGGTTTCTGATATATTTAACGATCATAACATTACATCTTGTGTTTCATAGCTTTTAGCTCATAAATGTGTGTTCTTGACACTATAATTGTTTGTCCAAAGGATTTTTTGACCATGGTCTTAACTTGCATTGTGTTCCAGCAGTATTAAGCACATTTTTTTCCTCACGTCAGTCATTTATGTTTTCAAAGGTGGCCAGTGTGTATACATCCTGTGCTGAGCTAGTTAGATGATATTCGCCTGTTTTTTTTTTTTTCCCCTCAGCCAGAGACAGGCCCCACTTGTCCCTGTCCGCTCAGGCATTCATGCAATGTTAAGTCAAATACTGTCAGAGCGCCAGTATTCAGCTTCCCAAAGCGAAAGCAAACTCGCATTCCTCCCTAAAAGGGGGAGTGTTATGTAATTTCCAGGCATGTGATTTAATTCTATACCACAATCAAGCATGTCGACTTCAGTTGTTTTAAAGAAGTTGTATATTAAAAATAAATTTGACTTTCCATCATAACCGATCTAAACGCCTTGAAATTGGCCTCAGTCTCTTTTAAGAACCTCCTACCGTTTCTGACACTCCCACTTCAGCACTTTTTCAAACAATGCTTCAGGGGAGAGGTGGTCTTTAGGGCTGGAGCTCAGCTGCACACTGAGCTCCAGGGCGGAGCTTTGCGTAAATAGGCGGTGCTTTGCACCAGCATGTGTTTGGGCAGCTCCACAGGAGATTCAGGAATTTCTCAAACATGCATGAATGATGGAAAGCAACACTCTGGTTATGTTTTTGATGATGGAATTAGGGCTGCCACAAACGATTATTTTAATAATCGATTAATCACCGATTATTTATTCGATTAGTCGACTAATCAGATCATACGTTAATTGAAAATAAAACACAGCTTATCGCGCCAGAATGCAGCTGCTATTGTATAACCATGGTTAGATTTTAGCTATATGCTAACTAAAAATAATTGCTGTGGAAGGCAAGTTCTGCTCTGCAGATATTACACAGGTTTCTCTTTCATTTTCTTAAAATGATCCCACACTTTTGAGCTCCGTTTGTTGGTAGCCATGATACCAGATCCTGTCTGTATAATGTCTTGTGACGTCCACGGCCTACCCCAGTTACCACTACTGTGC